TTCAAGAGAGACAAGAGAAAAAACAACCGTTTATGGACAAAATAACTTTATAATTTAAATAAAATTGTCCATAAAATTATTGGTTTTCATATTGTGTATGACGACAAAAAAAAAAATAAAATAAAATAAATATCAAGAGATTCTTGAAATGCTGTCGGGCTCTTTTTTCTCTCTCAATCACATTGAAAATTATTATTTCAATTGAATTAATCAGTTATGATTCAACATTGTAAATTGTTGTTCCATCATCATCATCATCATCATCATCGGGGAAGAACTGACATAGTTGAAATTGTCATTGTATTGAATATTCTGTACTTATTCTATATGACTTTTTTTATTATTATTATTTTTAGATGGTTGAATAATATGGTTTATGGAATAGAGAAAAAAAGAAAGAAAAAAGGCATGAAACATCTTTTTTTTCATTCGCTTACTCTTTACTTGAAATTATTGTTGGAAACCATTATATAATCATGTTTCCGAAACTCATTATCAGGCCATTTTTTTCCTAACAATTCTTACATTTTTCTTTCAAGTTTTCAATCAAAGAGTTTTTTTTGGGAGGGAGAGAGAGAGAGAGACCAGGATCACCAGAAAAAAAAGATAAAAAACAAGAAGAAAAAAAATTATTCTTTGATGGATTTGAAAAAGAGAAAGGAAAAATCAAATATTGTGAGAATTTTATTTCGGGAAAAAAAAATTCCAGGATGAGAAATCTTTCTACGCAACATTTTTTAACATTTAGCATTCAAACAGATTTCAGACATAAAAATAAATCGAATGACAAATAAATCAAAGAAAGAGTGAATCTTCGACCTTTTCTCGATGAATCTATGAATTTTTTTTTTCTTACTAATCGATAAATATAGAAAGAACAAAATAAAAACCTAAAACATTTCTGAGTGAGTAAAAAGGAATTATCTTTTTCTTGTTTCATTTTCTCATTAATTTTGTTCATTTTCGTCTTTAATACAAACCTATATATTATTCTACAAAAAAAAAAATTTATATTCATTAAATCGAATTGGAATCGAAAAGAAAATTACAATTCTATTTTGTACTGAAAAATGTTTGTGCTGAAATCTTTCTCTCTTTCACACACACACTTATTATGGAAAGTTTCTTCAATTGGAAAATCCTTTGTGTTTGAAACAACAACAAACAAAAAATTAGACATTATCATTATCATCATGGATTGAGATTGTCTTTTTGTTGTTTTTTTTTCAAATTCTAGATAAAGTTTTTTTTTCTTGATTTTTTTTCAATTTTTCAATTCATTTGCTTGATTTTCCTTACTGATTCTTAGCAAACACACATATAGAGAGTGAGAAATGATTCAAATATTTACAAGATAAAAATTGTTAAGAGAAAACAAAAGAACAATTGGAACAATGAAAATTTTCGATTGACAAACAGACAGTTTTGCCAGACAACAACAATGTCAAAAATTGATAAGAATGGATAATCAGAAACCAGTGCAACAACAACATTGAAAAATTGTACTAAACGAGAATCTCAACGATAAAACGCGCACACACAACCACAAAAAAAACAAACACGCAGAGAGAGTGAGAGAGAGAGAATCCATATCCAGTGGATTTAACCAGAGACAACAATCCGAATTGACGTCATCCGTTTTTTTTCTCTTATCATTACTATAGTAGTAGGGGAAAAAAATATATTTTTAAGAATGAATCAAAAAACTGAAAAAACTACTAAAAAAATCTGATGACGACATCATCTTATCTATTTGAGTGTGATAATAGTGATGTATAATATACAAATGAATCAACCAAACCAAATACGAGTATGCCACATGATTCGTTGTTATTTTTTTTGTTGAAACAAAAAAAAACTACTAATAAAAAATCAGCAGCTTACAATCAAAGCATCATATGGTGGATCATCATCGTCATCGTATAGTATATAACCACATCCCGATTTCAATGAATTAAATAAGCAAGATAGAAATTTTTATGCCTGTCATTTGATGTGTTTTTAGTCCAAATGAGTGAGAACGAAAAAAAACAGGCAAATTCTTAATTCAATTAGTGTGTTGAAAAAAAACGATGAAAAGTTTTTCCAACACTTTTATTGATGACATTCAACAATATCTATAAAAAAAACTTTGTTTCGTTAATAGAAAAAAGATAATCAAGTGAAAAACGAAAATGAAGAAAAATCTCTCTTTTAAATGGAAAGATGAAACCAGAAAAAAAACTGATAAAATCATTCAGCCAACCATAAGAAAAATAAGGGAATTCAAAAAAAAAACTTAAGTTTTCTTTTCTTTTTTAAAATTTTTAAAGAATTTAAATAACAAAGAATTTTTTTTTCTTGATGACAAAATGTTGTGTAGGTGAATAAATGGAATATAAATTGAAATGTATAAATGGAAATGTGATATAACATTATTAGTCGTGCAACAGAACAAAAATGGATTTGAAAGAAAAAAAAAGAACAATGAAACTTTATGTTCAACATGATTAGAAATGAAAACGACTTAAAAAGTAAAAGAATAAATAATGTGGAAAACTAAAAATTGTTCATCCATTTGGTTAGTGTAATGTAAAGAACTTTTTTTTCATTCATTCATCATCTTTATCCACCCACCAATACTTATATGATGCATGCTAACATTTATATCCAATTGATCATAATATTTTTACAATTTTCTTATGATACAATAATCGAATCATTTTATTTCATTAATATTCAAAATAAATTTTATCATTTTCATTTTCATTTATATAAGCTGATTACTACTCATTAAACCCTTTCACATATTTTGTGAATTGCCATTTAACAATTTTTATTTCTTCATTCATTCATTAACTATTTGATAAAACAAACAAAATAAAAATGGATGTTTATATAACATAACACTTTATGACATTTTATTTTTTAAATTATTCATTTTTAAATGACATGCAAATATCGTTTGCTACTTAATAAACATTTATTTATTGTATTGCTTAAACTTAACCATGAAAAACCATGATGTAATACATGATAAATGTCATCAGTGTATATGGCTTAGCTACCGTCATTAAATATTCTGTAAAGAATTTAAACAAATATCAATGTTCAAAAAGCTTATTGTTTGACATTTACCTATTGTATTGTACACACCAATTCATTTCAATTAAACATCGAATTTATTAAGAAAAATTGCTTTATTAAATTAGAAAAAATTCTCAGAATATATAAAAAAAAAATTGGAATTATAAATTGAAAAGTTCATCAAAAATTTAATTTTTTTTTTGAAAAAAGAATGAAATTCACCATCAATTAATTAAATTTATTTTAAATTAATTGACATTTTTCATTTTTTTTTCTTCAGCCGTCTGGTTTTGTTATGTGTGTGTATGTGTATTTGTTTGCAAAATGAAATCATTTCAACATTATCATGATATTAATCTTGATATAAAAAACAAAATAATAATAACGAAAGTCAGAAAAAGATCAATGATATGATTAGATTATTTTTGTTCAATATTTGATTTTCAACCAAAACCAGCTAACAAACCAAACAAAAAAAATGAAAACATTGTTAAAATAACGGAAATGTACCTGATTAATTTTTCATTTGTTTGTTTTGCAAGAAAAAAACAACAACAACATACAACATACAATCATATCATTTTGATCATCACAATTTTGTTTAAAAGTTTAAACAAAATGACAAAAAAAAAAGATTTCATGATAGATGATTATATGATGGTATATGATGATTTATTCATGCTACACTAATACGAATTGAAAAAATATATATTTACTATCCAGTTGAATTTTTTGTTTTGTTTTTGATTAATTGAATTTAAAATTATTTATGAATAAATTTTCTTTTGGTCATCAGATTTTATTTGGTATGGTTGTTTTGTTTCAAAACAAAACGAAATCCATACGTATATGATAAATAAATAATGATTTTTTCATTATGTTTTTTTTTTCTGTAACTAAAAACAAAAACGACAAAATGCAAATGTCAAATGAAGAAAATATCATCTATCTATTTTTAAAAATGAATAATTATATTGATCTGAATGAAATGGAAACTTTCATTATGATAGAAAACTTTCTATTCGTTTTTTTTCAAAAAAAAAGAATAGAATGGAAAAATTCTTCTTGTTTTCGATTATCGATAATGTAAAAGAGGGTAAAAACAAATTATTTTACAGGAAAAAAAATTACAATATTTTCCTTTTAAAAAAAGAATCATCATCATTTTCTTCATTCATATAACCCATTTTTTTTTCTCCTAATGCAATCATTTTTTTTTCCTTATTCAAAAAAAAACATCAAAATATTCCTGGTTTTTCTTCTTTCTACAACCAATAAAATGACAACAAAATTAGAAATTTTTCGCTTATATAAGAATATTTTAAAATTTTTTCAAATAAAAAAAAAACAAACAAACAATTCATATTCATTATTTTAAGAATATTTGTCGAATCGAAAATCTTGTCTTTGAGTTTCCTTCACAAACACACACACTCACTTTATTCATTGATTTTAAAATAAGAGTTTATTATGAGAAGCAAGATAGAAAAAACTTCTCGTTATTCAGGTAACAAAACAAAAAAGTTTTAGCAAAATGGTTAATTTTTATCATCACACACAGACAATGAGAAAAAAAACCGAACATAAATGCTGACATTAACATATTATACATACATTGTCAAAACTCAAAAAAATGAAAAAAAAAATATAGAGCAAAAACGAGAACGAAAAAATTAAACATCAAGGTTTCCGTTATACAGCCGCCAGGTTTATTTTGTTCAATTCTATTCATTCATAGGCATCAAACCATTTTGATTGTTGTTAACTATAGTTCATATCATTTTCTATTCAATTTATAATAATTTCCTGTTGTAATTATAATAATTATTATTTTTCTTTCTTTTTTTTTAAAAAAAAAGATAATCATCGGTTCGTGTATTGTATAATAATGGTGATAGTGATAAATTAGAATAAAATTGTCTAAAAAAACTTACCAATTTGTGGAACATCATAAAGTTTTCCAGCGGTTGATGATTCACCTCCACCTCCATCAACACCACTACTGCCACCACCACCACCACCTAATAGATTTTGATCATTACTAAGATGTCGTTGTGAACGACTTTTAGCTACACCATATACTGGTTTACGATCATTCGGACGTTGTTGATTGACAATTCTTTCATTATTATTATTATTATTTCCGTTGTTGTTTATCATTATTTTCTTATTATCTTGCTCTTCTTGTATTGGATTTAATTCAGTTGTTGTTGTAATTATCGGTAATTCATCGAATAATTGTGATGGACGTTGTTTATTTGATTGACCACGATTTTTATTTTTTAGATTTTTACGCCATCCTTTTGGACGATTACGATTTTTATTCTTATTATTTTTGTTGTTATTTGTCTGATTATTTAATCGTTGTATTGATTCAATATTTGATTGTCTATTGAAAACATTGCTATCATTTATTGCATTCATTGTTGTTGGTGTTGTTGTTGTATTCAACATCGAATCTGGTTGTTCCAATTGTAATTTAGCAAATTTTTGTTGCTGTTGTCGTTGTCGTTGTCGTTGTCGATATCGATAACGTTGTTGTTGTTGCTGTTGTTGTTGTAGAGCTCTATTTCTTGAACGAGCATCATTGATTGTCGATTGATAATATCGATTACGATTACGATCAATTTTTATCGATGATGGACGATATGATGAACCATAATAACTATCACTATTCTGTAGTCGTTGTTTTAATTGATTGTTCAAATAATAATTATTATTATTACGATTAAAATTATTCAAACGATTACGGCCATCATTTCGATTTATATTCATATTGTTATTATCATTATCAATTGTTGTCCATTTGTTTGTCGAATATGGATTTATCATTCGTTTACGTGGACTTGATGAAGGATTGTTGGCCATCATCAACATCATCATCATTGATTTATCAATATCATTAATAACATTATCATCATTTTCTACTTTGTTTCGAAAGGGATTATATTCAAATCTTTTGGCCATATTTAACTTTGAACTTAAACTTTTATTATCAACATAATTATTTCTCATTGACCATCGTCTTGATGATGGCCAAATCGAATTAAAAGATCTACGACGCCACAATTGATTCTGTTGTTGTTGTTTTCGCTCTAAAAATAATTGATTCAAAAAGTTTTGCAATAATTTCTCTTCAGAATTTCGTTTCACTGATTCTATGGTTGGCTGATTGTAGTAAACACCTGTTCTTGGAATTTTTGATAACAATTCATTTTTATTATCAATGACATCATCATCAAAGTCTGGTTTATATCTTTTGTCTTTGTTGTTGTTGTTGTTATCATTATTAAGAATGCTTGAATCTGAATAAATGTTTTCTTGTCCTTTTGTATGTTGTAATAATGAAATATCATTCATTATTGGTGATAGATTTAACATTTGTAACTGTGGCAATATATGGGATTGATTTTGTTTCATCAACAACATCATCATCGTTGTTGGATCAACTACTTCACTATCAATAGCTCGACGTCGACGATTTTGTTCATTATTATTATTATTATTATTATTTTCATGATTAGAATCGATTAATGATAAGCTCAAATCTTGATCAATCAATTGTTGTGGTTGATGTTGTTCTATTAATATTTGATTTTGTTCATCACTAATCGATTGTTGAAGTTTATTTATTGGAAAATAATTATTATCATTATTTGGTTTATAATTTATTGATTCTATCAATTTCGTTGTTGTTTTATCTGTAAATAATGATTATTAATGAGTAAAAACAAAAAAAAAGAATGATTATTTTTGTATTTTCTATTCTCTATAAGTCTTGTTCAAAATTAATTCAACTAGAGATGCGTGGTAAATATAATTATTATTAAATAAATTAACTACCTTGTATGAATGGTGATTGTCCATCGATATTGATTCGATTCAATGATGATCGAGTTTCAAACTGCTGCCTACTGTTATCGATTCCTATTATTGATGGTATAGTTGTCGGCGATGTTGTTGTTGAAAAATTTTCCGTACACGAACATAATGATGATGTCATAATGATTGTCATTGTTATAATGAACAAAATTTTTGTCATTAGATTCAGTTGTCTATTTGTATGACGTTGAAATACAACATTTGTTTTATTCGTTGATGTTTTTTGATTATAATAATGATAATGAAGATTATCATTATCATTATTATTATTATTATTTTTGTTGTTATCATAAAGATGTTTATGATGTTTATCATTATTCTTATTCTTATTTTTATTATTAAAACAACCAATGAGTTTTGAATGATATTTATGAACAACAAGATCATTATTATATGGTGGTGATGTTGGCGATGATAGTGATGGCTGATTGTTATTATTATTATTATTAATACTGTTACTATTGTTATGATAATGATGAAATTGATGTTTATATTGATGATGTTTATGATTATTTTCCATTAACCTTATCAATAACAATGATGATGTTGATGATAATGAAATTGTTTTGATGGCAGCACATCGTAAACAAATGTTTCGATTCCGACCAATTTTATCATCATTGTTGTCGGTACTACCGGTAATACAGAAGCATTTTGATGAATACATTTTTGTTGTTGTTGTTGTTGTTGTTTTGTATCGTTATGATTGTCGTTCGCCAAACCGAAAAGAAAAATTTATTTCTTGCTTTCAATTCGATTAAATTTCATTCAATTGAATAAAAAACAACAACGATTCAATTCAAATTCTGTCAAAACATCTTTGAAAAATTTGTTGTCATCATTATTATTATTATTTTATTTGAATAATTTATTTTTTTGATTTGAAAAAACACACACTTTATTTATAATTGATTGTGTTTGGCACCATCATCATCATCATCAGTCGAAATGGTTTCGGTTTTCGGTGTCTTCTTCGTATTTTTTTTTCTTTTCTTTCTTGGATCCAAAATTTTTTTTCCTGGAATCGAACAGCCAAATGAAAAAGAAAACAACTGAATATTTAACCACAATAAAACAAAACAAAACAAAAAAAAAGTTTTAATATAGTTAAAATCAAAATAATTTAATGGAATTGTTTTTTTTTGTAAAGAATTTTTATTTTCATTTTTCATTTTTTTTTGATGATGATAAAATATTGAAAGGTTTCTAAAGTTAGAACAAACAAACAAACAAGCAACAACAACAAACTAATTAATATTCATCATCATTATATTTGGCCTAAAAAAAATCATATTCTAAGGTAATATGGCTAAGATGATGACGACAATCTTCTTAAACATAGATTTACAAACAAACAAAAAAAAAATCTTGTTCGTTTTATTTGAAGATTTATGGATTTTATGGATTTTTCTTTTCCTAACCAATCCAAAAAAAAATGCAAATATATGATGGTTTCCGGAAATTTTCTTCTTCTTTTTTAAATAATCTCCCATATGAATTGTCATCAACTAGAAAAATTTCCCTTTTTTGTTTAAAATCGGGCACTTTTTTTTTGCTATAAAATGATATTATATTTTGTAATAAAAACATTTATTATTGTTGCATATATAAACCTTTAAAGATGAAAATAATAATAATAATAATAAATGAAAATAAATAGCCTTGCATATCTCATTTTTCTTTTTTTCTTTTTTTACATCTAATAATAACATCTTTATTCAATTGTTACTCCTGGTAGTGTGATTGTCATAGTATATTAACGGGGATTAACTTGGATTTTTTTTTCGTTGTTGTTGCAACTCTTAAGATTTATGACCAATTTGATTCATTTTATTTTCTCTGGTCTTTACTGGTATTTTCTGTTAATAGGGTTTTTTTTTGGCTGTATTGTCTTCTCTTGTTTTCAAATGTATGTTATAGTCAATCATCTAATTGATTGATGGGATCAATTTATCAATAATAATTGTAGATAAAATATATTTGATTGAACTTTGAAAAAAAAGAATTTCTCGGTCAAATTTTTGTTTAATAAAATTAACATTAAATTTCAGCGGCAAACATATATATTTTCTTTTAGTTTTTTTTTTCTTGAAATTTTTAAAATTTTCCATGGAAAATCATTGTGTCATGAATGAGAAATGATGACAAAATTTTTTTTTTGCTAATAATTCACGAGAAAAAACGATCGAATCAAATTATACAATAACAACAACAACAACAAAAGACAAAAAAAAACTATTTTTAGATTCTTTTTTTTTCTTTTCTTTATTCCGAACAACACTTAAGGAAAAATATATATTGTATTTTTGGGATTGAAAACTATGATAGATTATTTCATTCAAATAAAAATAAAATAAAATAAAATACCCCAATGAGCACCGTACAATAGAAATGTTGTTGTTGTTGCTGAATTTGGAAATATTATTAATGTTCAAATCGGACCCAAATCAACAACAACAACAGCGATAAAAAAAACGTCTGAAACTTCAGATTCTTCATCATCATCATCATTATCATCATCTTCATCTACAATAACAGTTATATTCAACCATCACTCTCTACATTAGTTTGATTTAATTATATTTGATTTCGATACAAGAAGAATATTTTTTTTTCGCTTATTGAATTTGAAGAAAAAATCAAATAAAATCAATGAAGGAAACAAAAACAAAAAAAAAATAGTTGAATACCACTGAATAACATAATGATTTTGTTTGATGATGTAAGTTAATAATAATAATAAATTTTATTAAACACACGCTGCCCGAAGGCATTTGTGCGATAATATTAAAGAAAAATTAACAAAGTACAAAAAGAAAACAAAAAATTATTGCGAAGAGATACATTTTAAATGATAGTAATTTTTACAAAAAGAATTAAAAATGTGAAAATTGAATTTAGATGAAAAAAATTCGGACAAATTTGAAAAACTATGTATTCTGATAGAAGAGAACAATGGACAAGTTAGCAAAACATGTATTGAGTCCTGTTCATGAAAGCCACAATCACAAGAAGATGTATGAAAAAGATTGAACCGATGCAAATAATAATTAAAGTTACCATGTCCACTAACAAATTGCATGTTGAAGAAGTTTGGCTGGAAAACTTTTGGGATATTGGACGAATCAAAAAACATCTNAGTAGTACAATACGCATGAGTGGTTTTGATCAAAAATCTATGTTGTAGCGAATCCAATTTATTTTTTTGCTTCAGATTAATATGCTCAAACCAAATATCACAAGCATAAGTAATAGCAGGTCTAACCATACCCTTAAAAAGGTTTAATCTTTTTTTAAAAGAGATGCCCCACGTATTACTAATTAATGCAAAAAAAATACGGAAAAGATTTTGGATTTTATCAATAATATTATTGATGTGTTGAGAGAAATTCAATTTATTTTTAAAACGATGATTGCTAAACGTTAATCCCAAAATTTTGATTGATGATGAAGAATGAATAGTGTGGTTACGATGATGAATTATTGGATGATGATGTAAGTTAGTTACACTTATAGTTTGAGCAATTTATTTAATCACACACATACAAGAATCTCTTATTCTTAACAATTCATTCATTCATTCATTTTGCTATTCCAATTTTATTCTGATTTTTTTTCTCTCCAATGTCCATAACAAATGATAATAATGATAATAAAAATAATTTTTTTTTCGGATTCTTTCATACGATAACGATGCTAACGATGATGATAATGATAGATTTGAATTATGAAACGCCGCAGGATACAGTTCAATTCAATGTTGTAGTTGATGATGATGATGATGTGGCACCTGATTCTTAACTAATGATGCGGCGGCGGAGGATGATTTGATAGAAAAAAACCGGAAATTTCTTTTTCATAAGTAAATTGCAAATCTTATCATCATCATCAACAACATAATCATAATGAGATGTTGTGATAGAAACAACTTGGTCATCATTATCTATGAAATTTTTTTGTTGTTGTTGTTGTTGTTGAAAATCTTTAAGAATTTTCATTCATTGCTTCTTATATCGATAGTATCGCGATTGTATATCGAATCAACAACACAGAAATACGAAAACAACAAAAAAAAAATCCAATTCTATAATCCAATAATCATCAAATTCAATGATATTCCGATAACAATTTTTCTTTCTATGTTTTCCTTTTTTGGTTTCTTTTTCTTAAATGGATCTCGATTAATGATGATGATGATGATGATGATCATTATTATTATTATTAACCGAAAGAAGTTATTCAATGATTTCTCATGAGATTTTCAATAAATTAATACGAAAACGATAAATATAACATAACAACAACAACAAAAAAAATCATTCATGTACGCTTTGGTTAATTTATTTATTGCCTATCATCGATCAAAAACGACAATTTTGTTATTGTTGTTGAGTTCTGTTAATGGTTCACCAAAAACAAAAACAAATTTTTTTTACTTATAAATCAATTTTTGTTTATATTTACATAGAAAATTTACTTTGTAAAAAAATTTTCATATACAAAATAAAATACAAATTTTTTAATTTAAAAATTTTCTTCTTTTTTCCCAGACAATTATTATTATCTTTTGTTTTTACCTGAAACAAACAAACAAACAAACATAATGAAAAGTATGAATTTGTTTTTTTTCATTTCATTTAATAAATATTTGCCTATGTGTGTTTAGAATATTTTATATATTTTTTTAAATTCTGTTATCCAATTCTATTAACAAATTCGGCTAAATATTATGTTGATTTTCGTTTGTTTCTTTTTTGTTTAATCTTTCATATGACCATATGATGACGATAATGAACATAACATACATTTACCACACACTGTTTTTTTCAGATTTTAACTTAAAAAAAAAACAAAAACTTTATTTATTTCATTATTTCTGGTGTATGATAAGTCTTGTGATGATATCTGGTTCATATAATATAATCCGTACACATTTCTAGTATATGAAAATGAATGAGTTTTCATTGTTTTGTTTTGTTTTTGAGTCCTTGAACAAAACAACAACCAAAACGTAAAAAAATAAAATGAATTTAAATGAAAGTTGTATTTTGGATAATTTTTTTGGCATTTCCGATGATTATTTTGTTAAATCTTATGACGTTATAGTGACGAAAGCATGAATAAATCTAATGTTTTATTTTCAGGTAGGAATTAATGTTTCATTTGGTATCATATCCTTTAAATATGATAATCATAATGTTCTGGTTATGTTTATTTTGCATTTTCATTTTGTTGGTTGGTTGGTCTTACCTCATCAATGGTGAAAAATACCAGGAATTTTTAATTTTTTCTTTTGCTTTGAAAAACTATGTGAACAGAAAAAAGTGTGAACAAAAAAAAATAAGAATGAATGATGTGTAAAACAAAACAAAATATTCACATCGACCTTTAGGAAACAAATATTAAGTAATTTTCATTCATCATAATTAAGAAAATCATTTTTGTTGTTGTTGTTTTAGTTCGTTCTCATTCATTTTTGTTTTGTTTTTGTTTCTTTTCTGCATCCACTATTATTATTATTATTATTATTAAGAATCTTGTTTCTTGCAGATGATGATTCCGGTGAAAAAATCAAGATATACTTTTTTTTTCTCGATTTATTCTCGATATAAATCTTGATTCTCTTTATTTAAGATGAAAAATGATGATGATGTTCTCTTCTTTTTTTGTTTGTTTTGTTTCTTGTTTTATTTTGTTTGTGATCATTTTGCAATCGTTTCTTATCGCAATGAATTTAACGGTAAATTTTTTTTCTCTAATATTATTATTGATCATCCATCTTTTTCTATTGCTCTATATATCTGGTCATCTGTTATTTTTTATCTATAAAAAAAATAAACTATTGACTATATTGATTAATGTCAGTTTTATTTTCATGAAATGATAAATTCATTGTAATCGATTAATCCAATTCGTTGCAATCACAATTCGCTTCGTTTTTTTGATATTCCGGATACAATGACCCGAAATATAGATGAAATGAAAAAATATTTCTAGATCGACAATGTAAGTTGAAATCGATTTCATTCAATGTTAGCAAGCAGCAATTTTTTTTCTCTCTTCCTATTCCATTTGAATGGAAACATTTTTTTTGGTAACAATTTAATTTCAAAATATTTAGCAAAAAACAAAACAAATAAAGTTTTTTTTGGGGGTGATAACATTATCATTTTAGTTATTCGGTTTCTTAAGCATCATTATTAGTATTATTCAATAAATTTTTGTTTTTGTCTTTCCAAAAAATAGAGTTGTAAATTTTACTGTATTCAAAACATTTTTTTTTATTTATTTATTCATCAACCAAACTAATATAAATAATACAAACAAAAATAAATTAAACATACAAACAAAACAATAAAATAATAACAACAAAAAAAACTTGACCATTGTGGATCAATGATCAAGTTTATTACATTTTTGGTTATCCATCTTGAAAATCTTTCTTTCATATAGAAAAACTAAAAGATTAAAATCCAAAATGAAATTGCGCATCCGCATCCGGCATTCATTCATATATTTATTATATTATATTGGGTGATGAATATCAAGGGTTCAACTTTTTAGTTTTAAACAGTACTATTTAGTCATTTGTAAAACAAAACAAAAAAAAGGAAAAAAAAACAAGGAACAGTTACATATTGACATGAATGAATGAGACAAGTTATGTGTGTGTGTGTGTGTGTATGTTCCCATTTCTCATTTTGTTTTTATTTCGAACATCTTATATCAAACAAATACATCCGACAAATGATTGCATCTTCTTTTCTCTCTTTTTTTGATTATTGTTTCAAAATAAGCGTTGAAAAGTTTCGTTTTTTTTCATCTTCTTTTTTTTTTGTTGGATGCTGATTCATTCTTGTCTTGTCATTATCAATAATGTTTTCAATTTCTTTAGTGTTCAAATTCAATGGTCTTAACATTTTAACATAACTTTTTTTTTGCTATATTCTTGGTTTTTTTTTCGTTTTATACTAATAGTCGGACCGACGGAAATGCAATCGAATCGTTATATAATATGTATTTGTAGGGTGTGTTTGTCTGTATATAGAGGGTGGATATAGTGAAAAAGGTCATTGGTCAGTTTATAAAGATTTTGAAGAAAAAAAAGGAGACTAGTGATGAAAATTGTAATGAAAATTTACAGATCCAAAACAAAACCAACAACACAGCAATACGTGACTTGTTTTATATTTTTCATTTATTCATTCGTTCTTTCGGTTTTTTGATTGTATATGTGTGTGTGTTTACACATGAAGAGCTCATATTTCATAAAGAAATGAAAAGTTTTTCATCAAAATCATCGTGGAACAAATGAACAAAATATTTTTGACTAACCAGAATTTGCCATTGAAAAAAAAATTCATATTGACTTTGTTGAAAAATGAAAAACAAAAAATAAAAAACATTCGGATAGAATTTATTAAATTTATATTTATTGCAAATAAATTCAATGTGTGATACCTGATTTGTTTTGATTGATTTTCAAAATAAAAAAGAAACGAATAAATCTTTTGAATCGAATCAAAGTTCAAATGATGAATACTTGAATTCAAAATGAGGGAAATGAATTGAATAAATAAAAATAAAAAAAAAACGAAAAATTCACAAATAAAATGTGATGAAAACAAGAATAATAAAAATTAAATCAAATTTGAATTTCTAAAAGCAATTGATTTTGTTTTTTTTTTGTTAGATTTGACATAGAAAAACAAAACAAAACGAAGTGAAAATGAAAATCTATTTTGAATGAAAAATTCCTAACAATTTAATAAAGTTTGTTGAAGTAGTAGAATCGAATAGTTTACACACATACACACACACACATATATATCATCCATAATTACAATGATGATGAAATGAAATGAAAAGAAAAAAATCTCTACCGGTTATTTGTTGTCATCATCGTCATCATCATCATCGCCATCATCATCGAATAAATGAATAGAATTATCAAAGCTAATTATTTTTGTTTTCTCTCATCCAAAAATAAATGGGGAAAAAAAATTATATATTCGAATGGAATTTCGATTGAATTGTCAAAATGATGATGATAATAAAATAAATTTTTTTCTGTTTATTTTTTTTCCGGAATAAAAATAAAATTGCAATGAATGAAATTGGAAAGGCAAAAAAAAAATTGTTTGAAAAAAAATGTTTTTTTTTCTTTTCATTTGGGAATTCACATTTTATTTTCATTTCATTCAACAAACTGTAAAAACAAAAACCAATGATAGAAAAGAAAAAACAAAACAAAAAATCCTAATCAAACTAAACTGTATTGTATATTTAGATATTTTATTAGCATTGTGAGTGGAATAGAAAACAACAAAAAAATGCTTTCCTCATCATCATCATCATCATCATCATTAACATAATGTGTGTGTGATGTAAAAATAGTAGAATTATATAATTAAAATAAATATATCAAAAAAAAAAAAAAAAAATTAAAACATCTTCAACAAACTTGAGAAAAATCATGATGATCATGATAATGA